TTAGTAAAGGGTATAAGTACCAAAGAACAGTAGAAAATTTTTCAGATTAGTATCCAGGGATTAATTATTTTTAGCAAAATGGCTTTCGTCACTTCTCTTCCGTGTAACAATTTAATGCCAATAATAAGGATTGTGGAACCAGAATGACTTGGTCTGAATCTAGGCTTTGTCATTGCTGGGTTTCTTAAGCCTGATTCCTTATCTATGAAATGAGGTAATAGTCCCTACATTGATTGTACCTAACTACTGTGAGAATTAAATAAATGAATAAGTGTAAAGGAATAAAAATGGTGCCTGGAACTTCGTGCTTCATGTGTTTGCAATTACTATTACAATGGTCCACAATCTCTCAAATCTTATGCTAAGTACCAAACAGTCCAAAAATCAGAATTTATTCTGTAATTCATTTGGCAGCAAAACCTGAACTGAACAAATGCTAGGCTACTTATAGTCTTTAGCCAATTCAGTGCAAATATACATGCAGAGATTTCCAGATGTTTGTGTATAGGATGCTGCCCTAAACTTCACTAGTTTGTATTTATTATTTCCTGAAATCTGGAAAATTCTAAATTCTGGAACACTCACCCCCACAGGTTGTGAACATTTATCACCTTCTATTTACTTAAAATGAATAGGAAGGATCTCTTAAATAACCACAAACAACTAAGACCCTAAGTCTAGCAATAGACAATTTTAGGGTGAAGAAACATTTCCCAGTACAATTAGGAGGGTCCTGTATTCACAGAATGTGAATAAAATCCATGCGATATTCTGTTTACATGTCATAATTGTTAGAATTTTCTAACTCTAAATTCTAGGGCTTGCTTAAACAAAGTCTATCCTCTTTGATCACAAATAAATGATACAGGCTTTTCAGGGGAGCAGTAATGCAGGCACTCTGACGGTGCATACCAAATCACCACAGAACTTTAGAGCTGGAAGCGTCCCTTGGATACAAATCTAAATTCCTATTCCTTCCCTTCCAAATTGTTCTATCATCCATAAACTTACTCTCCCCTATGAAGTAAGACTAGCCTGCCCTAACTTGTCCTTAGAGTCTGTCTATTGGAACACCCCGTAGGTGAATATGAACAAACAAGGTGGGGTGTACTGACAGACATGGGATCTGAATCTAACAGATTAAATTTTACATGTTTAGCAAATGCCTCAGCTTTTACTTTAGAATATAACAACAATCTCCAAGTCTGGAATAAAGGGAGATTCATCTGGTACGTGTTTAAAATTAAAAAAAAAAAAAAAAGACTTACTATCTTAATGAACCCAATGAATCAACAACATAATGTTGATGCCAAAAAAGCCACTGTGATTAGGAACTAATTACATCAACTCAACAGCAGAAAAGCACCCAGAAAGAAGGAAGTATCTGCCCTCTCTCCTATGTACCAGCGAGAGCACCTCTGGAATATTATGTTCAGTTCTGTGTTTCACACTTTGGGAAAAACAGAAAAGGTTAAAAAAGGTTAAGAGGGGGATGACCAGGAGAGTGAAGGAATTTGAAACTATATCATGTAAAGGACAATTGAGGGAGCTGAAGTTATGTAGTTTAGACTCAGAGGGAACCTGATCACTGTCCTGAAATCCCTAAAGAACTGCCATGGCCCAGAGAGAGCAAACTCTCTCTTAACTACGAGAAGAAATATCAATAGCCAGTCTATAGAAGTATTTCTTTTTTTTTTTTTTTAAGATTTATTTATTTGTGCATACAGAACTGGGGTACAGGCCAGAGGCTCAGGGGCGGTGAGAGGCTTCACCAGAGACAGAGTGGGGAGCAGAACAGGCAGGTCCACGAAGTACGCTGCTGAGGGGAGCAGCGGGCGGGTCAGGAGAGGTCTGCCTCGCCATGTGGTCACCTCCAGGGCAGGCGGGAATTGAACTCATGTGGAAGTAGCTTTAGCTTCTTAGTGTTGTGCTTTAACCCGCTGTGCCACCAGGGAGGGCCATATAGAAGTATTTCTTAAAGTGTAGAATCATGTTAAGAGGTAGTAGCTTCTAAAGTCCAATCTAGCCTTAAAGGTTCGTAATTTAAAAAATCAAATAGTTTGTCATCACCTTGGCCTCGAACTGATTACTATATCTTCAAATATCACAGCCTCTGCCTTCAACCTGCTTTAAATGTCCTACCCAGTCAGCCAATCAGTGAAATGTTTACCTAGGTCTGCAGGAGAAATGTGCCTGCTCCCTGGGCAATTAGTTTCAGTTTGCAGATCAGTGTCCCTGTAAACAAAAGAGGGCCCTAATTGAGGGCTAAGTATGAGCTCTCAGCTAGACCTCCATGAAAGAAATTCATTAATTCAAAGACCAGCCAGAAGACCTACCTAATCACATCATATATGATCAACAGCATTCAGTCCTTACAGGAAGGTTAAAATAAAATACCCTGTACAAACATCTTCCCAAATGCCAGAGAAGCCAACTCTGTAAGCCAACTTGGGTATCTCAGATTCAGTTAAAAGTTTTCTTTCCATCAAAAAGATGAGCTCAGTGTTTGAAGTAGACTAGGATCCATGCTCAGATTAGAAAAGGTCATATTTGATTATGTCACTGTGAAGCTAAAATTGCCTATCAATATGTCCACGAAGTCATATCAGTGGCTGAGAACTAGACATTGACACTCCATAATGAATTCACAGAAAAGTACAAACTGGAGAAGATCTAAAAAATAGACAATTTACTGAAGTTGGACATTCTTCTAAATCTTTTGTGACCCAAAGACCACCACAGACATAAATAAGTATATGTCAGTCTGTGGGAGTTACTAAAAGCCCTGAAAGCCTTTGAATGACAAATATTATTCAATCCAGTTTTATTTATCTTAAAATTGATTTGGATTTTAGGAAACTCTGTCAAAAGTGTCAGAGAATATAACATATACATGAAAAACAAGAACACATTCATCTCTGTGCAATTAGTGTTCAGAAGAAACTAACTGTTATCAAGAATAAAGTAGATGAATTACGATATACGACGCAGTGTTACAATGAAAAATGCAACTGTTCAGAAGAATAAGGTAGACCTTAGGGACTAACATGAAAAAAATTAAAAGGAGTCCATGATATATAGTCAAGGGACTATAACAAGCTCTGAAACAATGAGTATATAGCATTATTTTATTTTGAACTTTCAAAATTATTTTTTAAACTGTAGGTCTATTTCATGTATGCCTAGGAAAATATCTAAAGAGATCAAAGTGCTAACAGTACTAACTTTTCAGGACTGACTGGACTAGGAGTGACTTTCACTTTTTCCTTTGTCAACTTCTCGTTGTTGCCTTTTTTGTTGTCACTTGTTTTGCTCAAAAGTAAAGACTACCTTTATGATTTAAAATTAATAAAAGGTAATATAATTATACAAACTTTTTATCATCTATTAGTCATTGAAAAAAGTGAGCTTGCTACTTCAATATTACTGCCTGCTTCAAATTTCAGAAAAATTGAATTAATTCTTTTCTATTATATTTTACTAAAATAAATAAAAATCACCAGAAGTCCCTACTAGGTTTCTCAAATGCTTTCTATTCTACACACAAAAGGCTAACCCAAGGATAACTAACACACATGGTGTTCACTCTGAACAGGAACTGTTTGAAACACTAGATGTATTAAAATAATCTTCACAGTAACCCTAGGAAGTACACACTATTATTGTGATTTCAGAGATGGGGAGGCTAAGTGACCTGCCCAAGAGTACAGTTAATAGGGAGCAGAGCTAAAATTCCAACAGAAGAATGGCCTCAACCACCACGGTTTCTCTCTCAGTAATATGTCAATCTCTCTACCAGGAAAGGCCTAAAAAGGTTACAGTCAAAATCCAGCTACTAATTCATTCCTTGAAGCTAAAAGCAGTGCAAACTTAGCTTTTTATGGGTAAATAATCTGCATTTCTATTTCTTTCAATGCCAAGATCAAGACTGAATTAATACTCAAAATCATGTGGGAAACTCTCTACACAGAATTACAGTTCAAAGTCCATACCTGACTCCAGACTAAGAATTAGGTCAGAGGTCCATTAATATAAGTACAGCTAGCCAAAGGGTTTAGACGAATCTCTACTCCAAAGTAAAGGAATTCAGAAACCCTCACCTAATGTCTTGATAAGGTAGGTTTTGTTCTAGGCCCACTTTAGATCAAACAGGGAAAGAACAGAAGTTCTTTCTCTAACTTTCCACCAGCAGGACAAACAGTCCTACCTTCTACATAGACTCAAAAAAGAAATTGGCATTTATCAGCACTAGCAACACTGAACATTCTCCCTTATGGGGGGAAATGGGCACCCCTGATTAAGAGGTGTATTCCTCCAAACATACTGACCTTGTAATTGAGGAAGAAAAAAAATGATCCAAGGAAAGGATTTAACCTAATTTATAAATGTGCTCAACCTAGATACACACCTGTCCCAAATGACCCATTGAATCCATTTATGTGCAGGGAAAACATGGATTACACTCTCTGTCAATGTCGCTCTCGCTCCCCGGCCTCAAGTGGTCTACACGACTGTTTATAAACAAAATCCTCTGAATCTCTCTTCCACCTGCCTCATGCACATCTGATATTTACATAAACAAGGAGAAATGAACAAGGAAACTGGAGGATCGCTAACCCTCAGCGTTGGACCTGGGGTGGGACTCTGAGGGTTTTCCAACTTCCCTAAATTACCTAGGTAGAGAGGCAGGGTGCTTGAACCGAACCCGAAAGTTTTCGCCCACTGGGGCGCCTGACAAAGGCCAGAAAGCCCCTTTTGGAAGGTGGGGTGCCTTCTCCCAGCAGCCGGCCCCATAGCCCCGTGGGGGGACAAAAGACTTTCCAGATTGAGGGGTAGGGAGACAGGCTAGCTGGAGCTTGGACGTGCCCTTGGGGAGGAAATCTGGGGACCTTTGCGGCGAGAAACGATCCAGCCCGAGCCCAACACTAGCGGCCAGGGGCTGGGGGAAGGATGGGCAGCCGCCAGGAGGGTCCCACGGGCGAGGCGGAGCGGGGACTCACCTGGGGGAGGCGGAGAGGGAGCCTCGGTGGCAGGTAGGGTTGGAGGGAGGGTGGTGGTGGTGGTGGTGGTGGTGGTGGTGCTGCTGCTGCTGCTGCTGCTGCTGCTGCGCACCGGGGTCAGGGCAGTGGTGGGCGCCAGAACGGTGGGCGCTGCAGGGGTGGTCGGCGCCGGGCCCGCGGTCGTCGAGAGGTTGGTCGGCTCCGGGCCGGCCGTGGCCCGAGGGGTGGCGGAAGCGCGTTCCACAGTCCGTACGGTGGGCGGCGAGAGGCCGAGCAGCGCCGGAACGGTGGTGGGAGAGGGTCCGGCGGTCGTGCGCGGACTGGTGGTCTCCGGGGACGGGGCTGAAGAGGACGCAGCCAAGGGGCGGTGGACAGTAGTCCTGGGGGCCTGGGCTGTGGGAGCCGTGGCCTTAGGGAAGGGGTGACTGGGCTCGCCCCCAAGCCCTGGGCCGGGCGCGGCTTCCACCTGCCCCACGGCCCCGCCGCCACCGGTGACATTCCCCGCCGAGGTGGCTGAGGCGGCGGCGGCGGCGGCGGCGGCGCAGCACAACAGGGCGAGGCCGCCCAGGCTTGGCAGGCTCCTCATGGCGCGCTCGGCTCCGCCATTCATTCATTCAGTCAGTCAGTCAGCCGGTCGGTCAGTCATCTTCTCCTCCCTGCACTCCGACCAGGGAAGCCGCCGCAGCTGCCACCGCCACCGGGCGCACCATCGCCACCTCCCTCTGACAGGCGGCCGGCCCCGCGGGCGGGCCCCAGCGCGGAGGGAGCGACCGGGCCGAGCGCGGACCACCCGCCCTCCTCGATTGGCAACCGCCTGCGACCAATGGGAGGCCACGCAACCCCACGTGACCCACTCACTTCCCGGCCTCTTTGTAGGCCTGCGGACCAATCAGCGGGCGTCGAGGGGAAGAGGCGGTGTTAGGGCGGGAGGAGGGTGGCGCGAGCCCCGCTCCAGCCGGTGGGGATCGCGGCAACCCCGGCTTTGTCTACCCAAAGAGCGGGGCGCGGGCCTCGGGCACCCGGCGCCGCGGAGCAGACAAAGGACGCGCCCCGCGCGGCCGACGCCGAGCCAAATCGTCTGCTCCACAGGGCGGCGAGCGCGACCCGGGGCGGGGAATCCGCTCTTGGGAGCTTCCCCGCCCTGTTAAACAATGGGGCGCCGGCGCCGTACCCGGACTCGGGTGGGGACTGGGCTGAGAGCCCCGCGATGGGCGAGGGCAGCAGCAGCGAGAATACAGAGCCCACTATTCTTTCTGCTGTCCGGGAGAGCCTGGCCTCGGCCCTGCGAGGTCTGCTCTGCACTCCCATTTCAGAGATGGGGAAACTGAGGGCCTTCCTGAACCAAGACCACGGCCTCACCAGGCACCTGCTGTAAACCAGGCGCTCTGCCAGGCTGGACACAGTGGGGGTCTAGAGACCAGTCAGGAGCTGAATGTGCAAGCTTCCTGCGTGTAGGAGACAGACTCACAATTATACTTGAACCTTGGGGAGAGAAGGATCAGATTTGGTGGGATCTCAGTTTCAGGTCTCCCAGTGCGTGATTTCTCACCTCTAAAATATGGATAACACCCCCATCCCACCCCCCTCTTACAAAAAAGTAAGTCATGTACTGAGAAGGCTTAACTCCAGTGCCTGGTCCCAGTAAACCCTCATTAACGTTAACTACTCTCAGAGTCCTCAGCCTGGACAACCCTGCTGGATCCCTGGGATTGGGGTGGGTCAGATAACAGAACTTGATCCTGAGTGACGCTAAACCCCGGGGTGGGGGTTGGAGCTGGGGCTCTCATTTGAGAAGACTTCATCCCAGCGCCCCCTGCCCCTTCCCACCCCATACCGACTCCTGACCCTCCCAATGGGATCTTGTCTCCGTGCATGATTGCCTAGTCCCTGGCACCAACCAGAATGGCAGAATACTTGAATAGTGAAAACGCATTTGTTTACCTGCACGAGGAGTGAGTGGGGAGAATATGTATGTGCCTGTATAAGCGATAGCATAAAATACCTTGGTGACCCTGTGAGGATGAAATATTTACGTGTGTGATTATGAGTATCATAACGCATTTTTAATATGTTTTCAGTATCTACATATGTACTGATGCAAGTTTTATGTGTATCTTCTATGTTTTTGCATTTATAGGTATTCAGAGGTGTGTCTTGATAGATCTATGTATGGGGGGGAGAATGGAAGGAATGTGTGTGGGTGTTCTGGTTTCAGACCAGTATTTATCAAGCATAAATCAAGGTTCTGTTTCTGTTAGTCTTGAAGAAGGGAGTGGGCAGGTCCAGTCCCTTCCCCCTTATTCTCTTGCTGATTTTTCAGTCCTTCAAACCTCAACCAAAATGCCATATATTTCTGGATCTGAGTGGAAATTATTCTCACACCATTTTTCCACTGTCCTTTGTTTACTCATTGATCTCTCCAATCTATCCATCTATCTCTCTTTTGCCTCTTCCTAAAAGGATTAAGGAAATCTTCCAGAAATATACACAGGATAAAGTGAAAGCCTATTTGGCTTTCTTACTTCACATAGGCATGCCTTAGTTGTGTTACTAGAATTTGTGATTTATGTGTGTCTCTCTCCCACTAGGCCATTCTATTATCCATGCCTAGTAGGGGTAATATGTGTGAGAGCTAATCCATGCCTGCTAAACTGAATTAAATAGAAAAGGATTCTGTGATGTTTGTAGCTTTAGAACTTGGGGAAAAAAACTGTCATCTCTCTGAGCCTCAGTTTCCTCATCTGTAAAATGTGGCAAATAGACTGAAGGGAATGTTTTTACAGAGCATGGCACACCAAAGTGTTCAATCTATATAGGTTCATATTTCATTGATTTATGCCAATGCTCACTTTGAGCCTTTTGGCTGAAGGACCATGGCAGAAACCTTGTCCCGTAATTTTCCCATCAGGTTACATGGCCTGACAATTGACCTATCTGTGATCCCCTTGTGATAGTTGAAAAATGCTGGGTTAGCCCTGACCTGTGCTAAATCAGAGCTTCTCAGGCAGTAGGGGAGAAGAGCTGATGCAGCTTCCTTGCCTGGAGAATCCCAGAGAAAAGACTAGAAGACCTTGCTAAAGCAATGTCAGCTTTTGGCCTCAGACAGGGATTGCCCATGTTGGAACTTCTAAGATGGGTTAATGAACCTGTAATATGCATCAGAAATCTTGAATATTTTTGAAAGATAACTTAAATATATTAATGTTGATTCATCCAATATTTAACTTTTAAGCGTAACTTTTTAAAAATGTCTTAGGAATGATATTTTGTGTTTAAAATTCAGAACCCCTTAAATCACCCACATACAGAAAGGTGTTATTATACTTGTTCACTTGAGCTGCAAAAAGTCAGTGAGGGTAGCTATGAGGCCAGAATAGCAAATTTCAACAATAAAGCATCAAACTCTCAGGTATACTAGACATTGTAGTATGAGCAACACACCAACAATCTTAGGAAGTATTTACTACTTATGTCTGTTTTACAGATAAGGAAACTAGGGCACAGAGTGGTTAAGCAAGCTACCAAGGTCTCTTATTAAATGACAACCAGAAATCAAACTGAGTCTGGCTGATTGTAACTGGCACCCTTAAGGCAACTACGCCATAAAGTGAAAACACCTATGATATACTTTTAAAAAAATGAGAAAATATAAAGGATAGCTACGCCTCTGGGTAACAGAATGGAATCCGCCACTTTTCTTCTTGCCCCAGAACTGAAGCAAAGGCCCGAGCTGTAAACAGAGCTGTCTACCCGCCCACGACACCTGGAGCCACAGCACTTAGCGTACTGCCAGCGCCGCTTTGGACAGAGGGCCTGGGAGCTGATGAGGAGCCTGAACTTTCCTCCAGTCCGATTCCTCTTTAGATACTCAGCACATGGCACGGTGTCAAATACATAGAGAAGGCTCAGGATTGTTTGTTGAGCTAAATTGAGTCTTATGGTGTGGTAGTGCTGTCCCAGGAGTTTTATATTTATAACAAATTAATTCCTCAAAGATAGGGCTATTGCCCTCACTTGAAAGAAGAAAAAGTGAGTCCTGGAGAGAGAGGTTAGGGACTTGCCTGAGATTTGCCCAATGCCAAAACCTCAAGTTTCTCTCAATACTAACAGTTTAGTGATGGTGCCACTGGCCTTGAACGAAGTAGAAGGAATGCATCCTGAAAGAAAGGACTCCCCCAGGCACACACACATACACCCCATTTAATCCTCCTGCTAAAGCATCACTCAGGAAAAGAGAAGCTTTGGGGTAAGAAAGGAAAAGAAGGCATAACGGTATTAGAGATGAGGTTCAGCAAAATAACTTTGCTCCCAGATTCCAATAAAATATGGAAATGTTCCCCTTTCTGGCTTCCTGGAAACAGCATGCAGCCGTGGACTATTTCTAGTCCTGCCAGAGTCTGGCCGCTATCAAACATAGTGCAATGCAAGGTTTGACATCACCTGCAGACAACTTTAGGATGTGGGGGTCACTATTAACAAGTCTCACCAGCAAGGACATCAACAGATATTTCAAATGACAAAGAAACATAAAATACTATCTGTTTATTCTAAGTAATCAAAGATATGCAAATGGAGACTTTAAGTTATCATTTTGTTAAACCCATTCATTTGGCAAGTATTAAAAAAACTGGTAATACTTGCTGTCAAAGAAGCACTTCACTGTGATGATAAGAAGGTGATGTGATACAACCTGTCCAGGAGGCTTTGAAAGTGTTTATGCACCTTGACTAATTATTTCTACTTTGAAGAATTCGTCCAAGGATAATAAACAGACAGATAAAAATAAAGATTTATGTATAAAAATACCCATCAGAGTGTTTCAGATAAGAATGCAAATCAGAAAAGATCTAAACAGTTAAGAGATAAGTAAGCTTTGTGGCCTTCCCCCTCCCTGTGTTGGGGCACTATAAAATTTACATTCATGAGGCCCTCCCTGGTGGCGCAGCGGGTTGGGGCACAGCACTGAGAGTCTGGGGCCACTTCCTCATGAGTTTGATTCCCGCCTGCAGCCTGCCCCGGGGGAGACCACATGGCGAGCCAGACCTCTCCTGGCCCGCCCGCTGCTTCCCTCAGCAGTGTACTTCGTAGATCTGCCTGTTCTGCTCCCCACTCTGTCTCTGGTGAGGCCTCTCACTGCCCCTGAGCCTCTGGCCTGTACCCCAGTTCTGTATGCACAAATAAATAAATAAATCTTTAAAAAAAAAAAAAAAAAAAAAATTTACATTCATGAAAGAAATTCTCACAGTAGGAAACTGTAAAAAAATTAGGTGATCACTGGGCACTTTTTATAATAGTGAAAAGCCAGAAAACTGACACCACCAAATAATGGTAAGGATGTGGAGCAAAAGGAACTCACATTCATTGCTAGTGGGAGTGCAACATGGCGAGATAATCTGGTGGTTTCTTATGACACTAAACATGCTGTTACCATATGATCCAGAAATTGTGCTTCTTGGTGCATCCCCAAAGGAGTTAAAAGTTGGGTACACACACCAAAGTCTGCTTATGGGTGTCTCTGTGCAGCAGCTTTTCCAATACTGCCAAAATTTGGAAACAGGCAAGATGTTTTCCAGTAGGGAAAACATGAACAGTGGTGCATCCCCATCCCACTGGGAGGGGATCAATGGGATACTCTTGAAATGGGATACTACTGAGAAGTGAGCTAGCAAACCATGAAAAGACACAGAATCTTAAATGCATGTTGTTAAGTGAAAGGAGCCAATCTG